GCACTTTGGAGAGGCCTGAAATAAATTTAAAACCACAGCTGACGTCTACGCCATCGTTTTCCCCCAGTTTGGGAAAGTTGCTGGTTGAACCCCGCGACAATCATTTCACCGATCTTCATCACCAACAGGCTGATGTGAACATCACATAGCAAGAAAAGCCCTCCAATACGTGTGTCTCATTCTGTTTTTTTCCCATGAATGCATGTAGAAATCAGAGTATGAAACAGAAGTGAGCACGCACCCCGATGCAACGTCACAGAAAGGCGACTCAAAGCTGCAGCACTTCTCAGTAACTGCATTATTTCTTAGCTGAACAGCAGAATATTTCCTCCTATGAACAATCAAATACTTCAGAAAGACTGTGTTGAAAACAGAGGCCTCAGAGTAGAAACTCAGTGAATATACCTGTGATCATCCAATCAAAATTTAGTTCACCTGTGGTTTCCGATCAGTGATGTGTAATCGTTTGACATTAAGGTGAAATGACTCGGATGTGCACCCACTCCAGAAAATCTTTTTGATCCACAACATACAAAAAATAAGACTTTAATTATCCCATGCTGTAATATTAATGGACATGTTTGTGATTAAATGAATGGAGAGATAGAGTGAGTATGATGTTGCAGGACCTCGTGAAGGAGCCAGAAAAGTCTAGAATGACACTGAGCTGCCTTTAAATCAAGATAACGTCTTTCGTTTTTTCTTCGATCTAGAAAGAGGCATAAAGGTGATGACTGATCTTTGTGACTAAACATAAATGATCAGTTTTATGTGACCAGCCTTCCAGCTACTTGTGATGATGAAGTGAGAATATTCAGTGGTGGTTTCTGTCCTTTGGTCAGCAGAGGACGCCGCGCCAGCACAGCAGCTTCTTCACAAAACAGAGCCGCCTGCCAAACTCCACCCAGAAAGAAATGGACAAGGGGAGATGTTTCAGAGACCAGCAGAGGCCTCCTCGCTCTGTCAACACCTGCACCAGGGGGCCCAGACCAGCACTAAGTGGGAGGACGACTTCAGCGCATGCAGGGACCCTGCAGCACATGCGGGAACAGAGGTCGGTGGAGGGCTGCCGGCGTGCAGCACTGTGGCGGAGCACAGGGTCCCACTTCCTGCCACAGAGCTCGGTGGCACTGCGTTAGTCACCACCAAGACTGTGTAGAGCCGTGTGTGCTTGTATTACTCAAGCTGTGAGGACACCTCCCCTGTGCAACATCTCCTAAATGTCAAATGATTCAAAACTGTATCGCCATAAAGTAATTGCATTACTTCCAAGTTGAGCAGCAGGTGAATCTAGAAACCGACAGTTCGGGTTTCCTTCATTACAGGCCCCCAGAGGAAGAGCTGCAGAGATGTTCTGCCGTTCTTCAGAACTGGAGGGATTGTGTTGCTCGGCCTTTCTCTTTAAGGTGTTTTATTGGTTTTAAATCAGGCAACATGGGGCTGCACGGTGGCTCGGTGGTTAGTACTGTTGCCTCGCAGCTAGAAGGTCGCTGGTTGGCGTCCCGTTGAGGACACCCGGGATCTTTCTGCGTGGAGTCTCCATGTTCTCCCCGTGCAGCGTGGGTTCTCTCCGGGTTCTCCGGCTTCCTCTCACAGTCCACAAACATGCTGAGGTTAATTGGTGATTGTAAATTGTCCGTAGGTGTGAATGTGAGTGTGCTTGGTTGTCTGTCTCTAAGTGTAGCCCTGTGATAGACTGGTTACCTGTCCAGGTGAACCTGCCTTCACCCTGAGTCAGCCCCCCATGACCCTAGTGAGGATTAAGGTGTAGAGATGATGGACGGATGATACAGTTTGGAGTCGTCTGACATTTCAGTGATATTGCTCACTTCTGCTGAATACTGTAAATGTGTTTGTCATATTGTGAGGACTCATCTTCAGTTTGGAGATAAGTGTGATTAGGGTAAATCTCTCAGGAATGTCAGGGGTCCGTTTTACAAAGCAGGTTTAGTGACAACTCTGAGTCTGTTAACTGTTCAGGTAATAAGGTTTCAGGGATAACAGACTCAGAGTTGAGTGTGAACCGGCCCCCAGGTCTGAAGTGATGGAAACGTGTGTCCTTACAAGCTTTTCTTCACTGCGTTTATTCTCTGTGAGGTGACAGTTCTTGCCATCTACCATGTTTTTTATGGTTTTTAAATACTGTTTTTACTATTTTCTGCAGTTGTTGTTTTAATTGACTGTTTGTTTCTTATAGCAAAGACCAAAAACAAGGAAACTGCTTTGAATGTTTTTGCCATTTTTTTAAACTTTTTTTTTTTTCCATTAAAACATGAAACAAAAATCATCACAGAAATAAATCTGATGTTCTAAAAACAAGGCGATGCATGAAACAGAGACATTCTTGACAAGAATAGAGTTCAGAAACAGAAAACGCTTTTTAAATGATAAATAATTTTGTCGACCACGGAGCTTCCTGCGGGCAGCATCCAGGCTCAAACACAGAACGACAGCCAAAGTGAAGTAAAGAAGCGTATGTTCAACATCTTCCCTCGTTATCTGGATTCTGTTATGGTTTCTGAACTGATCTCAAAGCTGCACTCTTCACCCCAAAACCCATGTTGACATGTGCGAGTGATCATCAGCCACGGGGCAAGAATATGGGCAAAGGTGATGTACGTTAGAAATGATAAGAAGTCCATTTGAACCAAAGCAGTTTTTATGTGAAAATCCAAAACAGTTCATGAACAATGTACAGTCAGGATTAGTGGATTAGTGGCCCCTAAACAGAAAATAAACACGGCGGTAAACTGCAACCACCAGGACGAATAAACACTTTATAAAGTGAGCTTCAGTATGAAATGTTAATTGAAAAAACAATTTCTATGCATTTGCTGCTAGTTTTGCTGTTTCTACTGAATCATAGACGTCGATTTCAGAGGGATGCAGGTAAAAGGTCTCACTCAGACACATTCATCTGTTTCCCTCAATTAAAACACGAAAGCTGAACAGTTTGGAATAAACTGCTGCAGCTTGAGCAACTTTTCTCCTCCTAAAATATGAATTATGAACTCAAACAACCACCGAATGTTTTGTGGAAAGGGTCATTAGATGCATTATATTCTGATTTGTTACCTGGTTCCTGGTTATGTATAAATAAAGACATTTCTATTGTGAATTGATGCAGGAATTGGTGCATCATGCAGGAAAGAAGACGTCTGAAGCCTCCCAATGTTTAAAGGAAACATTTAACATCCATCCAATGAAAGATAGTTGAACTCTAAAGCTGATATCCACCGAGTGAAACAAAACGGCCTCATTTCTGGCACATTTCTTCCACTGAAACCCCCACCGAGCATCTGAACTCTTATCTCGTCCTGTTAATGCTCGGTGAGAAAAATCGATGCCCAGAAACGGTTTATTTTCGGCGGCAGTGATGGAGAGGGGAGTGAGAAATGTGAATAGTGAATGTCAGGCTGAATACAGAACCCCGGGATAAGAACGTACATCATAAAGCTTCACCTTTAACCCGCCTGCTTTCTCCCCTGCTGTTCCTTCACTGTCACTCCAACCCCTGAGTCGACGGAGCTGCTAGAGGCTCTTACAAAGTCTACGCCTGGGCTCACAGGTAGGTGCTGGGGTCGTCAGCCACGGCCAGGTGGAAGTACTCGGGCGGACCGTCCTTTGGCAGGCTGCTGATGGTGTCTCTCCAACGCACTTTGGTGGACAAGGTCTTCCTCTTTTCGAAGCACTCTCTGCCGTCACGACGTTTCTCCAGACTGGACACGATCATCTCCGCCAGGTCCTGCTGGAGCCGCTGGAAGTTCTCCCTGAGATGGTGACAAAGGGGAACATTTCGGATCATCATATGTGCAAAACAGAAAACACAGTAAAGCACATTATTATTTCTTAATTAAGATGTCAGATTATAGTAATTTACTTGCATTCCTGAACAGAACATTTAGTTTTAGTGGTTGAGTGTGACGCTTGATTCATTTCTCAGAGAAGCTCAGAGGCTCAGATTTGGGTAGAAAAAGGTGAATTCAGTTTGAAACTCCTCTTTTCTGTTCAAAATGGTAAAATATCAAGACCTGAGTGCGCGTCAGATTCGTTAAGCACCGTATGTACATTACTTCCAGTAGACCTCACATTGAAAACCTGATCAATTTCATCAATGCATTCTAACCTGAGCATTATTAATATTTTCTAGACTTAAAATACTTTGCCTATGATGTACATTTAGTAAACTCGGTGTAATATCAGCATTTTTACACATAGAATAACCTGTGCAGTATTTACATCTTCTACATGTAGAAGAATCTGTTCAATACCAACAGCAGCATTTTCATTTTTTACTGATGTCCCTGCTTTTTGTGCACTATTCCCTTTTCTGCTGTAGGATTAATGAAGGATTTATCTCATCTTGTTAATTCATGCATTAAATGAAGGTATTATTTAGAGATAACCTCCATGTTCAGTGTGCATTTTAATCTCCAGCTCCAACTGTGAGCATTGAAGACTTGTTGAGATTTTAAAAATTACAGCATTCACATTTAAAAAGTGCAGTTTCAGGAGTAACTCCAGAGGGCGCTGTACTCACGCTGTCGGTGGCGTGGACAGGTTGTATTTTCTGCCGGTCACCCCTGTTAACCAGTACGTCATCTCTTTGCCTTTACCCTGTGGGTCAGGTGAATATGAACACACATGAAACAAGAGCAGTGACCATATCTGTGCTGATAGAAATCCATAAATGGACGTTAAAACCCACCTTCAGGTACGTCTCTCCTCTCTGTTCATATTTGAACTTGCAGTCTGTCCTCTGCAGGATGTTGATGGTGGACTGGCTCACGTGAATTCTCAGAGCTGGAATGACAGCGTGAGAAAACATTCATCAGACTCGAGCTCTGGGCTTTCTTACCTTCCTGTCAAGGTGAAATTAAAAGCCACATCTGGTGAAATGTCTCCTACGCAGGCCTGTGGACTCCATGCGTGAGGCGGTGTTGACCGTATCCCCGAAAAGACAGTAGCGAGGCATTTTCTTTCCCACCACGCCTGCTGCACAGGGTCCTGGACACAAAGGCACACAAGCATATTTTTAGCTTAGTTAGCATCCAGTTAATTCTTTTCAAACATATTGCTCTCCGTCACCATGTATGTCTCAGTGGCTGTTTTAATTCCTCATCCTCAGTTTATACGCATTTCATTGTTTGTTTTCTGTATTCTGCAAAACTGCATGTTCATCATTTATGTATTGTGTGATCACATGAAACATTCAGGTGGTGTTTCTCAGCCTTCATGCTGTTTAATCATGTGCATGATTCAGCCACTAGATGTCAGCAGCATCAGAGCAAATAAAGGCAAACTCAGGGACGTGTAAACAAGACTGTGTGGGATGCAGATATTTCAAGAAAACAGATGAAGTGAGCCGCTGAAACAGTAGAAGTGTGAGCTATAATACATTTTAAAGTCACTGTGCAGTCATTGATGAACCCCTGAAAACACACGTCTGTATGTTAAAGTTTAGACCAGGGATCTCCAGCTCCGGTCCTCGTGAGCTACTGTCCTCCAGGTTTTAGACGTTACTGCAACACACCAGACTCAAACTAATGGATCTTCAACAGCCTGTTGTCAAGTTGTTCTACACAAGTCTGTTAATGATCCATTAACGTGAGTCAGGTGTGTTGCAGTAACATCTAAAACCTGCAGGACAGTAGCTCACAAGGACCAGAGTTGGAGATCTCTGGGTTATACAATCATAGAGAGAAACCCAATGTAGTGGGAACGTTTGTGTCCCGACACATTTAGTATTTCCAGTCAGCTCCTGAACACACCACCAGAGGTTTAGGTCAACTCCTCCCATGGACCAGCCTCTGATTGAGGGTATTCAAAGCACCTGTGGCATCATGGCTGCCCTTTTGTCTTTGCTTGAGTGACTCTGAGGTAGGTGTTGTAGTCAGGATTGTTGGACTGGTTTAGACTGTTTCAGAGTTTCGTCATCCATATGGTGATGACGTGCTTTTGTTTGACGGTCTCGTTTGCCTCATATTGGAGTCTGTTTGGCTGAGGTTTGTGATGCCAAGTTTGCCTGCCGGGGTGTAATGTAGATGCTGTCGATTAGTCTTAAGTCTAACAAAGACAGTTACACCAAAGTATGGCAGTTAACGAGTGTGACAGCCTTTGTGTCTCCTAGCTTTGTCGTAGCATTGTCGTGTTAGCTTTTATTCTGTATTTTAGATTTATTCTGTCTTGTGATAATCATTATGTTGAGTGGACAAGGTTGCCGGCTGGTGGTGGAGGTTGGGCGTTCCAGTGTGGTTTTTCCTTCACAGGTTGTAGTAATAAGAGCACTGGGCCACTTTATCTTACACTGCTGTGGTTGGTGGTTTTAAATAATCGGCCACCTCCTTCCTGCTGGCGTCCATCCGCTCTCCTTTCCCAGGGCTGGTTTTATTGTTCTGGAAGTGTTTCTTTTTAAAATTTTGTAGTTCATGAATGAAATAGATATTTTTGTGCATTTTCACTGATTTATTCTGTATTTGTTTTACTCTTTCTGCAGGCATTTAATCACACATCCCATCAGTTATTCAATGAATGTAACTTATTAATGAACTTGTGTGACCAGTGTCAGACTATGGTGGTGGTTTGGAGTACCCAGGTGGCGTTGTTGGCTTTTTTAGATACTGGTTCAGCTCTCATTATTCTTACCGTCATCCCTTTCGTAACCCCACCACACAACAAATCCGATTAATAGCGTTGTAGGAAAGAACAAGGATGATATTGATGTGATAAAGTCATGATAGATTTCTGGTACCTGAATGCATCCCAATGCGGATCCACAGAGGGATCCCAGGCAGGTGCTGCAGCTCAAAAGTCCCTACAAATGCAAGGATGTCCAGGGCCATGTGGGCAATGTCCACCGCGTGCCTGTTGCCGTTGCGTTTGGGCAAACCTGACGCCACCATGTAGGCGTCTCCTATCGTTTCAACCTGAGATGCAATGAAAACAGTAAAAACAAAAGCATCATCTGCATTCAGTAAGCATGAAAACTGATTTAAATAAACAGTTTGGCATGCCAGCCGAACCCTAACATCACCATCCTACAGGTTTATTTTAGATCAGTGCTTCAAAGCCGGTGAATTCAGACACCTTGTAGACGTCGTGGTTATCGAGGATGCTGTCGAAGTTCTTGTAGATGTCGTTGAGCATGTCGACCACCTCCATGGGGGTGCTGTAGTGGCAGAGGGTGGTGAAGCCCACGATGTCGCTGAAGTAGATGGTCACCTCCTCAAACAGCTCTGGCTCCACCCTGCCCGTCTCCTTCAGGGAACGCACCACTGGGCTGAGGAGACACGGGGTTAAGTCATAGCCTCAGTTCCATTAACAGTAAGGGAATACAAAATGCACATGGTTTGCCTTGAGCTGGAGCAGGTTCTTTTGAAGACATACGGGAACTAATGGTGGTTGGTTTGGTCTGTATGTTTAAAACTAGAAACTTTGCTGCATATCCCCTCATGCCTCCAAGCTTCATAAAATGTGATAAAGAGGCAACTGACAAAAACATAACAAATATTGTAAATACTGTTGTTTATTGCTCGATCTTATTTTTGTTGTTCCCGTTTGTTTCCTGTCCAGAGAGCTGAGATTCACCAGAGTTTGGGAGTACAAACCTGGCCAATAAAGTTCTGATTCTAAGGCTTGTTTATAGATGTACAAAGTTTTATTTTTTGGTCCGCTTGTGGCCAGAGTAACGAGCTATAAAGCAATACGAGACTGTTCTAGTTTCATTTTAACGTTTTCGTAAGTAAACACCGGAGCAAATTGTTTCCTATCGACGGTATGCAACAGAAGTGTGCACGTCACCACGCAGTAGCTCTTTATTGTCAGATCCTTCCAGTCATTGCATGTTGAATGGCATTTGCTCTGACAGAAGTACAAAAAACAGTTTAGACGTACAATATTAACAACACAGGCCTCGCAGTAGGAGCTCAATCCAGCAAAAGTCAGCACATCATTCATTAATGGATTCAAATCTTTTCAATGCTTCAGTGTGTCCGACTTCATTTCTGATGACAGACTTGGCATGGAGGTTTCTGGAGGGATGTTCTCAGTCTTGGCTGGAGGGGTTGTGTTGCTCCGTCTTTCCCTCTAAAATACCTCAAAGGTGTTCTAATAGATTCACTTTGTGGAAGGGGCAAATGACGTGCATATACATAAATGAGCTGCATATACATGAATGCATTGTATAAACAGAAACGTGCTGCATATATGGACGTGCAACAGAAGTGCCCCAGGCCTCTAGGGGCAGTTTTTAAGTCTTTAGCTCTCCAGTCAGTGTGATTATTTGGGTGTTGAAGTGGTATTTTACTGCCGTCTCCCTGTGTTCTCTCTGTTATTTATGTTTATCCATGGAGATGAGAGAACACACACCTTTCCAGTACAGCTTTTCCCTCAACTAATGATGTCTCGCTCACTGTCTGCCTCCCAAAATATGCCAGGCTTGTTCTTGATAGAAGTCAATGCTATTTCAGTTCCTCTTGCGATTGTGTTTCATGTGGAGCCATGGTCAGGAACAGTACGTAGTCCATCAAAAATAAAGTTCTGGTGTTCACAGCTCGTTTTATAACCATATTAATGCAGTTACACTAATCAGAAATCAAAGGTGTGCTCCTCACTGTTGTGTGGCGTTTCTACTGGGTGCTGTATTTTCAGTAAAGTCTTCTTAATGTATTGGCTTTTAATTGCTCCTAAAAACAAAAAAGCTCACTGTCAAAGCTTCCTGGTCATTTCTGCCAGCTGCTGAGGGAAACTGTGGCTCTCTAGGTGCTAAATGATCCAGTGTTCTGTGTCGTCTGGCACTTAACAGGTGGGTTGTTGCACCAATCTGCTGACGCTGTGAGTGCAGGATGTGTGGGCCATAAAACCAGCGACACAGTAGGAGCTAAGACACTCCGTAGAGCTGAGGTGAGCTACACATGATGAGGTTTGTCTACATGATCAGCCCCTTTTCATGTAGCTGTAAGCATGATGCTGCATTCACTCTTGTGTAGTGTTTCAGCAGATACAGCATAAACCTACCCAGGAAGTAGCATGAAGTTGAGGCGATCTGCTCTGTCCCGCTCAGCTTTGTACAGAGAAGTTCTCTCCTCCACCAGATTCTCCAGAGTCTTGGAGTACATCTGCAGACGGCGGATCAGGTTGTCCATGTACGTCTCCGTGTCTTGGTTGTGCAGGTTACTGAGTCACAAAACGTTTTACTATCAGTATATGATGTTGTGAACTGCTCATCAAGTTAGAGAATCGTGCAGACAGGTGGCAGACATGGCCGAATGTATACACCTCCAGACCTCAACCCTGTCTGAAGTCGAGTTAGTAGTCGCTCTGAATGTGTGTGTAGTGTCGACATACCGGAAAATCTTTCCCAGCGTTAACTCTATTCTCTTAAAATCCGGCCTCCGCTCTGGGTCTTCGTCCCAGCAGTTCTTTATTAGCATGTATAGCTGTTTACACACACATAAGCACACACGGTTAAAGGGTGTCGTCCCCACATTATTCAAATGAATGGATCCAGGCAGCTTCAGTTTATTAACTCTATAAGCACTCAGTGTGTTTCAGTGTCCGGGACTCTTTTACCTCAATCTCTCTCTCTGATGCTCCATCAAAGTTGAGGTCGGGCCTGAAGACAGTCGAACTCGGATACTGCACTCTGTAGATCTTCTCTGAGGGCCACAACAATCAAACAGGTTGAATCGAGGGTGAGCAGTGAGTTTTGTATTAACCTCTTATCACAAACTGTCTCGTCTTGAGTTTCAGTTTCTTTAAATCCAAAAAAAAAGTAAAATATCTGACAAGCGAAAGACAAAAACAGATGAGTTTGTTGTTTGTGGAGGTCTAGCGGCGGCCCACCTGCAGTGTTGGAGCAAAACTGAGTGTAGAACGGGGCTCGCCTCATCACGATCTCATTGGAGATGATGGCATAGCTGTAGACGTCGCCTTTCTGAGATACTCCATTTTTACGCAGGTGCTCCGGGGCAGTCCACACATCTGGGAGGAGGAGAGGAGACGAGAAGCTGGGTCGCCGATGATCTCAGCGTTTGGATAAATAATCAACCTGATTATAACTCGGTCTCACCTCTGCCCGGCCCCAGGAGCGTGTGGCAGCCGAAGTCGGTGATCTTGACCACCATGCGGTTGTCGACGACGCAGTTGGTGGACTTGAGGCGACCGTGGACCGCGATGCTGCTGGAGTGGAGATACGACATGCCCTGTGGAAGACAGCCGGTCAGTGAGCAGGAGTTAATTTATCATCAGAATCCCTCGTGTGCATTTATGAGTGTATTACACACTGACGTAGAAAGGTAAGACAGTCAGGTAATACCTTTGCTATGTCATACATGACTGATATCTTAAACTCCATGTCCATGAATGTTTCGTCTGGGTAGGAGATCCTGTCATTCAGAATGTACTGAAAAGATGAAGGAAAAAAAAGATAAATAAGGTTGAATTTCTTAATTTCTGTTACTCAAATGAAATATAAAGTTAATAGAAGTGTGTGAGCTCACAGGTACTCATGCAACCACTCTTGAAACTGTATTTATTATCAAATGAACGTTCTGAGCAGGAGGAAAGGAGGCCGGTGAGCTCAGACGTAAACAAACATGTACACGACATTTACTGTGACTTTTTTGTTGTAGTTGACGAGTAAGCTTGTACATATTAAATGACAAGATTTTAAAAATAGGTGGCAAATTAAAGGAAAAACCAACATGGTGTGTCTCAGGAAGGTGTTGAACCACCATCTGCTCCTTGGTATTGACTATAAAGGCCACAGCGCACATTCATTTTCATCAACCTGTTCAGCGGCCCTTATGAACGGAGGCATCGTCATCCTGGGAGAGACCACTCCCATCCGGATGGACGTGTTCTACATCAGCATGAAGGTTATCACTCAGAACAGCTTTCTACTGATTAGCAGTAACTCTTCTTCCTTCTAAGGGAACAAAGTGGCACCAAACCAGGCCAGCAAGTCGCCCCCCACAGCCTGACAGGAGCCATCAGATCCCCTTACTTCAGGGCTCAATGGGGTTTGGGCTTTTCCTTTAATTTGTCACCCATCTGTATGAGCAGATCAGTTTCAGTTTGGGTGTAAAATGGTATGTGACCAAAAGAATACCCAACTAGAAATGATTTGGAGAAGTCCTACGCCTCTGTTAGGGCTGTGCAGTTTGTAATTTTAATAACAGAAATGTTAAATGTCACATACTTAAATTTGTTAAACATTATAAAGCATCCTACACCACAATGATATCCTTACCCCACTGTCTAAAATTCAAGATGAACATATCAGTTAATGTGAAGTTTTCCACAATCTAGCATATGGACAAACATACAAGCTGATGAAATACACTGATGAGAGTTCTGGTGTGTTCTTACCCTGAGGGAGCCCCTCTGGCACAGCTCAAACACCCCAAACACACCGTACTCGAACTTCACCGTGCCGTAAAACTTGGTCAGGTTGTAGTAATCGATATACAGCAGCTGCAACGAGAAAACCCGTTGGAGGAGAGGAGGAGGAGGTCAGGGTCGATCAGGATTTTCATATTTTTTATGTAAACTTCAGGATAAAAGACAGAGGTATCTCACAGTGTTGAGTTCAATTCTTTGCTCCTCGCTGAAGTCTCCATCTGTGTGCTTCAGCTCTTTTAAGATTACAGGCTGGAAATACAAACGGGACACTCCATGAGAAGGGGTCACATCATCACGTCCTAAACGCTGATTTTTGGCGGTTAGATTGTTGGTACCTTCTTGTCGTAGCGGCCTCGATGACTGAAGTACGTACTGTCCTTCCTCTTATCATCTTCAATCTGTGACATAATCACACACACACACTATCTGATTTCATATCTTTATCTTGAACTCCTGAGCACCTGATGGTTATCTGTGGTGAAACGCTGCATCGTCAGTAGATTTAGTTTTACTGAATTTCAAGTAATTAACAGAAGAAAACACGTGTTTACATGATTTTACAGCATACAGATGAATCAAGTATTATGTATATATATATACGTCTATGTGTTATCTTATGTATTCTATATTATATTATTTGTATTCATTATATACTTCTATGTATATTTTTAATGTATTTCTATTATTTCGATTATTCTTGTGTGTTTTTGTTGTTATTTGTTCTATTTTTACTTGACACTGTAATGCTTATTTTTGATGTTTTATTGTCTGGACTCCAGGAAGACTAGATGACGTCTTGGAGTCAGCTAATTGGGATCCTTTTAAATAATCAAGTACATGTGCTACATCACTTAGATGTCAAATGGTGCATTACTTCTAAGTTGAACATTTGGGTATTTGCAAAAAACTAACAGCTTTATTTCAGCTGGTCTTTGCTGGAAGAGTTGTGTTGCTCTACCTTTCTCTTTAAACGATCCCAAAACGTTGGATTTAAGTAAGACGACGTACATTCTACTTTTGGGAGTCATCTAGTCAGCCAGTATTTTGATATATCTACAGGCATTAACCTATAAATGTCTTCTCCCTACTCCTTTGGCACTCACACAGCTCCATATCATCACATTCTCAGCTCTATGCTTCGCTGTCGGGACGATGCATTCAGTCCTGATCAGGTTCACACCAAACATCAAACCCAATGTTCATTATGCTTCTCTTTAGCAAAGTTTTATTTTGCATTTCTGTGTCAAAAAGCAGGAAGCAGGGTTTTTCCTTGGATGCCGTCCACAGAGGTGGACATTATGCTCTGTCCTTCACACTGCCTGAGCTGTCGCAGAAACTCAGATCTCCACTGATAACCCCCGGGTCAGATCTGATAGACACAGCAGCATTTCTACTCTGGGGCCTGTATCTTCAGTAAGCATTTGTTTCTGACTGTTTATCAGAGAACATACTGATCAGCTTAGAGGGAGTTCAGTTATTTTATTACACTGGAGTTGTACACTCTGTAGTTTCCGGTGGCTTCAACTTATTTCAATTTTTGACCTCATCTGACGCAATCCAGTCTTTTGTGTCATGCCTAGCTTATCTCATTCAGTCTTGTCTCGTGTTCTTAACAGCTTCTTTATCATCCATCAGCAGAAAGATAATCTGGGGTTACAATCTGGCTTGATGACAGTCTTTACCTTCAGAGAGACCTCCCTCTCATCCAGAGGACTGATCAGGTGAGAGTCAATGTGAGACCACTTCTTCTGTATCAGACGTTCTTTCCTGTTCTGCCTAGTGGAAAAAGAAAAGAAACAACACATGAATAGGGGGATATTTGTGGATTAACTCTCTTGCATGCAGTCACTTAGCAGCTTCATAAGACACACAACTGGAGGAACAGCTTATTGCTCCAGCTTTAAAAATTATTTTCACAATTTACACTCTATTCTGGAAATACTGTCTGGCTGCTTCGTCATATCCCAATCAGCTTAGGTGAGGCTAAGTGGCTGCTGTGTACCTGTAGAAGATGAGAGCGATGGCTGTCACCACCACAACGCTGATGCTCAGAACAGTCACAATCACGTCGTGCGTACTCAAGCCTGAAAGCAAACAGAAATGACAGAACAAAAAAGCATTTAAAGGATTTTTATGGAGTAAAGACCATGAAATCAGAACTATATCTCTACATGACAACTTTAAATTTTCATGATGTTTTGCAGAAAGGTGTGACAGACGAACGTGGGGGCGTCTTACTGGTCGAGCCTTCTGGCCGGTCACCAGGCAGTCGGCCGTTTTTCCAAAGCAGCGGCGGGTTCGCCTCAATTATGATGGTGGCATTTTTTGATGTGTCAAACACTAACAGGGTTTCATACTGGAAAGAGATGAAAAGCATGTAAACAACTCTTCAGCTTTACGACGGTAACTGTTCAACGGACGGCGGTCTCACCTTCTTAGTGGTAGCTGATGTGTAAATTATGGAGAAGTTGACATCTCTGTCACCGTACTCATCGAGCTCATAGTGTCCTCCTATACCTGTCAGCAGCAGGAAAACACACAGAAGCGTATAAAGACATTTCCTGCAAGTGATATTACTGCAGTCTAGGTGCATGTAGAGTAGATGGATCGAGATACCGAGGTGTAGATTTGATTTGAACTCTGGGAAAGACACATTAAGTAGAAGATCTGGAGTCATCCATCAATTATGATGTTCTCTGGATCGATTTATAGTACAAATCTGTCATAACTCAATAAATGTCTTTCATAAGAACTTAATAAATAACTTTATCAAGTTCAGGCACCAGTTGTAAATATGAAGGAGCACAATGCAGTGAGTCTGCCAGATGTTCTGTGTTTCTTTTATTCTTCTGTAACCAAATTTATCTCCCAACACACACAGAAACACATCAGTGTGTTCTAAGTATAGCAGCTGTGAGCAGGAAGCACTCCTTCCTGGATTCCTTACAAAAAAAAAAAATTAACCCCAAAGATTCGAGCGTTATCTTTGAGAAGCAAGCAAAGCTGACCGCAAGACAAACCCAGAAAACAAACAATAAGTGAGCCGGGTTGAAATTCGAGCCCGGATCCCTCAGTGTTTATCGTAAGACCTGCAACCCCGTCGTATTCATAGAGGACGCTGAGGCAAAATTTCAGAGTTTGAACCCTGCACTCAGTTACAGAAGTGTTTTCAAATCAGCTAATGTTTGTATTATCAGACACAATAAAATAAAATAACCATAAAACAAGCAGTTACGTAACGTCGTGTCACATGATCAAAATCGATTTCCAGTCATCTCAGTGCATGTGAGACTTTGTTGTGTGATTACAGGCAAAATGTGCTCAAAGCTTTTACCAACACAGAACCGCATGATTCTGCAGAAACATCTGGATATAAATATTACTATTTTCTTGACCTGTGACACCCTGAACAAAGCCCATCTCTGTTGCAGTTAGCGATACTGATCTAGCCAGTAACTAGGCTGTAAAGCTGATCCAGCCTGCTGATAGAATAAAACTAACTGAGCAGTTCTTGCTGATTTGTGGTACTTGTGTCCTCATGAAGTCTGGGTCTAGTTAGTGTCTAAAATAATTTAAATGTTTTCTTTTTTTTTTTTTTAATCACCAAAATGCCACCTGTCATAGCAAGAAACTGTAAAAACAGGAAGTCATATTTCCACATTTCTGATGATTCGTCAATCAAATTAATCAAATCTAACCTTAAACTTGTAGTATTTCAACAAAACTGCTTCATTCTACATCATTTAAATATTTGGCAAACTTGCACTACCCAGATTCTGGTGATGATTCTCCTGCACAAAAGCTGCTTTTGAGTTCTCTCTGCTCCTAGCAATGGTTCTGCTGTTCCTCTAAAGGTGCAGGACTTCATAGTACAGTGAGACATGAAGAGCGTGACCGGAGCAAAAAAAAATGCCAAGAAACCATTTAGAGTTCCTGTGAAGGAAAAATTGCTTTCCTTATTTGGAGTTAATCTTTCAGAGAAGATATTGAACCCTGATTAACCTCCTAAGGTAGCAGATGTGCACCCTGTGACTTCTATAGATTTTTGACCTCACGTAAACCACGTTATAGGAGGACAAGCAAGCTTTCCCTGCATCTGTCAAGGCCAGATGATACCCAGGTGTTGACTTATCTTTGTTTCACTTTCTCCCATCAATCTGGATGTGACTCCCACTGAAGGAGGATATAAGACTAAGGATGTGAGAGGGATCTTTAGAACTGATGCTGGTATTACGTGCGTGAACTTCTGTTCTGTTTGTGTCACTTCTCCTGATGCATCAGTGAACCTTATTTCAACCTAAGTCATCCCAGTCTCCAGTGTGTCTCTCTGTGTTGGGCTCCTCATCCTACATCAACCTCTTCCAGAATTTCCACAACAGTTCCAAAGGTTTAGACTCTTCTGCACACTGCCTCCCCTCGTGTAGTCAACCTTAAACTATCACTGAATATACGCACCCTCAAAAGACGTGTTTCCAAAAGGGTTTTCACTCAGAGGCACGTCATCAGATCTCGTGTTATATATCTTGCTGAGCATCCGCTCTCTGAGCACTTTGCCGAACAGCAGAGTTCCATCATAGTATCCGGCCACGTAGTCGTTGATCTGCGTGTTGGATCGAAAGGCGAAGGAAAAAATAGTTAAAACATGTAGTTCCACCACATGTTCTAATTTTGGCACGCGAGCTGCTCACCGTGTCATTGAATGTCGAATTTGATGCGTAGTCTTGGTTCCTCTTTGGCAGAGTGACCACGAGGACGTTTTCCATGCTCTTAGGGGATGTTGTGTTGATGTAGTACTCAGGACTAGAAGAGGGCAACAGAGGTCACCTTTAATACTCTAGCCTCTATGTATGCAAAGTACCATGTGTGTGTTTTGTCTTTTTTATACATATTTAGGGAGGGTTATAAACCTCCGACAGAACCAGGCTCATGGACCATCTGCCTCGACCGGTCGGGGTGAGAGTGGGGATGGAGGGGTGGGGGATAGCAGGATGTTCGGATTTCTTGATTGTCACTGTATTGAACACTGTGTGGGGAAATCAACTTACTTGTAAACATCGAGGAGAATGAGCACGATGTCCTCGTCGATCGGGCCAGCCTTCGCCTTGATTGAAACGATGTCATCGGCGTTCCCACATAGGATGAAAACTGAAAGAAATCAGTTTCGCAGTTAAAGGAATGAAAATGTTTGAGCTGTGCCGTCTATTTATGACGTTTCCTTGCTGCAGTATTTCAGTGTCGCTGTATTCACCTGAAGTCTGGTACAGAAGGACTGTTAGCGCCGGAGATAGCATGTGGGGTTCAACGGGAACAAAAAGATGTGGCGTTTTCATTGACATTTTACAAAAAAGTGGACGAGTGATGAGCAGTTAAATTGGTAAGAATGAGAGTAGAGCGATGGGCCATATTATAAAAAAAAACAACAAGAAAACGTGAGAGAAGGCCATCCCCTTGTTTCTTTCTGAAAAGACTCGGTGTGTTCCAGTAATAAAAATCAGCATGTCCCAATGCAGAGTATGTCAAGTGCAGTTAAAAACACCATGCAAGATTTGCAGAAAATTTAAGGTGCAATATTTTGATGAAGTATTATTTCCCAATTTCAGTTGTATTCAGTTGCAGACATTGAAACCCATTGGGAACAGGACTATAACAAGACTGTGCAGTGTTTTTAATTGAAACCTCAAAGGCTCGTTGTGGGAAAACGTGAGCTTCACAACAGTCTGTTGCATCCTTAGAGGTTCCACACAGAAAGTCCGGCTAATTTATTCAACAGTTATAGTTATATTTTATTCAAAAACACAAACGTGAGGTCGGGACATTTTCAAAGCTATTTGGTGACACGATCTTGGAACTGTGACCATCTGAACACATTTTGTTGTGATCCATGCAGTGAATGCTGAGTTATTTCTCTCTATAGGTGAAAATGTTTGGTGTGCTGCAGGTTTTGAGGCATGGCATTGCCAAAGTCAGTAGGATTCATTCTCTGGAGACCCTGAACAACATTTCATAGCAATTCTTGTAGTTTACTTGCAGCAACTGGACTGCTTGAGTTCCTTGAAGACGTTCCACCTCTCATCCAAGAGCTTCATCAGCTCTGACTGATATCCTTAAGGAGCCATTAACACTTGAGTTTCGGTTTCAATTGGGGGTTCGTTGCTCCTCCCCCTTGTTATGCGAATCATTAGTGCTCCCCCTGACACAATGGGGTTCGTTAAAAAAAACAAAAAAACAATTAAAAACCAAAACTCAGTTTTAATGGCTCCTTAAGGATATCAGTATCTGGAACTCCCAGCTAGTCAGTCAGAAGTGATGAAGCCTCTTGGATGAAGGTGGAACGTCTTCAAGGAATTCAAGCAGGTCCAGCTGCTACGGTTAAACTACGAGAACAACCATGACCTGGATGACTGAGAACCATAACAATCCATCCGATAGCTACTGAGGTGACCAATAGGCCGACGCTGCCATCCCCGGCTACATGGCTCAAAACACTGGTGTTTCTGCTTTAATAACAAACCATGAAAACCCAAGCATACATTTCAGGAATACTCACTGTTGCTGTGTCTTTTATCAGACGTGAGGGCATCGGTCAGTTGGCCCTCTGTAAGCAGCCGCTCTCTGCTCACGTTTAAGGCAAAGTTTTCAGAGGCTGCCTCAAGTGCGTTCATGTACCTAATGGCAAACGCACGGAAATCAAACTCAAAGTGAACACAGAGTGCAGTTACAGAGGACATTTAAGTTCACTTGTGCTTGTGCTGGCTCACCAGAAGCAGTCCTCAGTGTAATTTTCAGTCTTCCTGTAGACATAGGTTCTCCTCCAGACATCCTTAAACGGCAGGGCTTCGTTCATAAAGTGGACAAAAAAATCGGAGACCTTTCGCGCCGGAGGCAGAATTCGGGTTAGTTTGGGCTTGTAATTGCAGGAGAGGCCGAAGCTCCCAGCAGAGATGATGGGAATGGTCAGGATCAAGCCGATCTCATGACTGAGGTAGAAAACAGGAAGTGACGATGCACGAGTCAGCAAGCGGCTACTGCTGCTGATGTAATGTTTGGTTAAAGAGAAATAAAGCCGTACTTACTCGACTAGGTGATGGGTGGCAAAAGTGCAGGAAGGCCCCAACATGACACATCCAACCTCACCTCTATCCTGCAGAAAGTTAAGGTACATGCAGCAGCACGGTCACCACACAGGCATGACACCACTGCCAAGGCTCAGGGGCGTTTTTTAGAATCTACATTCAATTCATTCTTGCAGTTCTTTGCTGAATAAGTGCTGCTGTTTAGCGCTCTACTGAAACTCTTCTCTAATCCTACTTCCATTTTTGACTTTCTCCGTTTTACATGCCCTCCCTTTGTAAGCCTGCCTGAACCTGAAGCAGCAGAATAAGGTGTATATCTTCTCAAAACTTTATCGATATCACAATATACATACAATACATATATCAGTAAAAATTAAACCACGATTAACTTTTGTAAACTGTCTATTCAGGCTTCAACTAAACTGGAGGGATTGAACAACAGGATGAAGGGTTTAGTTTGAATTCTTCACCCTCAGTCCCTTTAACAGGAAACACATATTCGAGGGGATTTCAGCATCGGAGTGTCCAGTATTACTCTTTAAATGTCACTAATACTGAGTCTGGCCACCCCTGACACTGATCAATGACATGGTGGTGTTCTGTCCACCAGCTGGTTGATGGAGTCAGTGTTCAGGACGTCCCACCTTCAGTCACATCCTGGAGTCAGAACCGGTTCCGCCTTCTAACTGGGACTCAGTATGTGATCATTGGACCTGGTCAGAGATGATGACTGATGTGTATAAATAGAAATAAAAAGGAGGGACGTGTCTGAAAACTAAAATGATTCCAGCTTTATGGGCGACGGTGTACATCACCCTGTGTTTGCGCTGCATTGTGGTCTATTCAGGCCACTACTTTCACTTCAACAGCTACCTCTGAACTCTAGTCGAGATTCAATCTGAGTTTTTCTTCTACAGTGGCCTTTCTTCATCACTCTCCTTTGGCTGGTGAAGAACCTGAGCAACAGCTGTTGTATTTATAGTCTCTCCAGTCTAAGCTACTAAAGCTTGTGCCTCCTTTAGAGGAGTGAAGGAGTCTTGGTGGCCTCCTTCACTAGTCTCCTTCTTGTACCTCCTTCAGAGGAGTCATAGGAGTCTCAGTGGCCTCCTTCATTGGTCTCTTTCTTTCACAATCACTGTTATTGAAGACTGCCTTCTCCAGGCAGATTTACACATTCCATGTTCCTTATATTTCTCAGTGATGGATTTAACTGTACTTTAAGGGATGTTCACTTTGATATGAGTCTCTTTGTTTTTTGTGCTTTTTATACTGACCACAATTCAATGCTGAAAAGCTGTAAAAGAGGAAAACTTTCGAGGGTGTTGAACACTTTTATAGACACTGTCTATAACTGCACCAGCTCAAAGATAGTACAGGTATAATGAATTCAGGCTACTACAGGGGAACTATACTGTACCTGAACAACAACTTTACATTACGAATGTAGAAGTGACAGGAGGGGGAAATGATCTCAGACTTTTCAGTGTCTCTTTATTTGAAAGCATTTTCACTCCAGCAACCTTCACTAATTTCACTCCAAATGAAACTCTCTCATCTCCTCTGTTCATGTATTCTACTGTACTTACATATAGCTTCTTCAGGATTTCCACACCTTCACAGCTGCTGCTCCCACAGCCCTGCCGGTTGTAGAAAGTGGTGTTGAACCCGTTGTAGTTCGCCGTCAGAGTGAAGTTTAAACCTTGAGTCAAGGAAAAAAGATAAGAGCTGTTAATTTAAAAAAAAATAATAATTAAATAATCCCTTTGGGTTGTTAAGATTAGATTAGACCAGCCTTGTCACCGCACAGAAAATGTCCTTGAGTTCATTTACATCAGCAGCAAAACAATTATTCCATTTTACAATGAGGTTTAAATAAGGGGCGACGCCTCTGCGGGGGGAAAGGATGTTGGTCATGGCAGTTTTCTAGAAATAATAGAAACTTAACTTTTTCTAAAAAAGAAAAAAAGTACTCTGTTGAAACATGAAAAATATCCATATCTGCTTAGTTTATGCTTCTGGTTACTAACCTGCATGTATGAACAATACAAGAGCCCCAGATGACCTACAGGTGCTGGATGACTGGATGAAGCGCTAGACTTTATGATGTACTTGGATTTTTATAGTAGGAATTATATATATATTTGAACAGAGCAATATTTCAACACAAACTTCAACAACCTAGTTTCATCTGACAATAAATCACCCATCTCGTAAGAAAACTAGAGCGATAAACATTCTTACATCAGAGCATCGTACACGTGTTTTAATGCACTCGCCGGCCACTTAATTAGGCGCACCTGTGCAGGGGCGGAGTCAAGCGGTGGCCTCAGGTGGTCAGAGCCACCAGCAGTGACATCCAGTAACCACCGTTTATCTGGCAGATCTTTTTCAAACAACCATTTCTCCATGACTCTCATACAGATGCATGTTAACAGCCTGTCGCCTGTTTAAGCTCATCCAGTGAAGCAGTTCAACCAGAAAATGTTCGTGAGAATGAGAAGACTTTGTGTGACTTTTGTTTGATTTACTTACTACATCTAATTTATATTAGCATTATCTTACGAGCCTCATCAACTATTAAACCATTACATAAAACAGGTTATTGTATATGGGCTGTTTGTTTTAGTGTTTGCCTGCATAAGCAAGTGATAAGAAATGTCTGTTTGTCCTGCAATGTACAGCAGTCTAACGCAGCAACAGCCACTAAAGCTTAAATAATAGTGTATAAGAAGCTTTGCTAGAATGGAATTCACGGTAGAGCCGTAGTAGTGGATTACATTAGATTTTATGGTGAGTGTTAAATGCAATGTCCAAATGAGATAAGAGGAAACGGGTCACAGTCGTGCGGGAATCAAACACATTTCTCTCCCTTCATGCATCTGTCATCGTAGCAACCGTTTCATATAACACACAGCGCATATAACCAGGAGCTAGTGTGGATCAAATCCAAATGTTTAAATTAGTTTATCAGCTGAGAGGAAAATTCAAGGCATGACGGTATATCATTTCTGTTCCTGTGCTTGTGTTAATCTGACAGGCAGCGTGTTTCCAGGCTGGTTTATTTGTTAAATAAACAAAACAAGAGAAAAAGAAGAGAAGAAGTGTATTTGTGATTTGATCACATATTCAGCACCTCTGCACAGTTCCTTATTCAAAATCTTCTAGAAACACCCAGATGTACCCTGGACACAACTGGTGAAGGCGTTTCACTGTAAATATATATAAATCAAATTAGTCTGGTTAGAAATGTTTGTTTCTCTATTTTGAGTTTAATCCAGCAAAAAAAAAAGAAAGAAGGAAAAAATTAACTCTTAGCTAGTTCTGACTCTAAAAGACACTGATTCCTCAACAAATAAAATATTTTAGCTTTTAGATCCCACTGTGAATGTTTTTCCCCCTGAACCTGTGAGTTCATTCACACAACGGCCATAAGATGAAATCTCAGCAGCTCACAGGATGCACACCAGCATTCATGACCAGCCATCTTGAATTCCTCGGTCTCTGTTCGATGGTGCGTCATGGACCTGCAGGTGCTTTAATTGCAGCTCGCCTTGTAAAATTTTACACACTTCAGATTTATATTGTTTTGACATTCTTGTCGTGGTTTATTTTATTTTCACTGGCGACTGTAAAGTTAGTGTCAGGTTGTGAGTGTCTGTGGGGAGCTGCCTGTCCCTACCATGCTTAATGTTCTCCTGCTTATCCTGTTCGATTGCTCGCTCCACAGCCGCCTGCACCAGACTGAGGCTCCATTTGTAAGTGTTGTCCTCCAGCAGGACAACGTTCATGGTGTAGTTACGCCTCGACGCCAAGCAGTCATCCAGCATCTGGTTGCCGACCGCCACCGCTATCAGCGCCGCCAGGTAATGTACAGCGTGTGAGCTGTACATCTCGATCCTTAAGACTTTCCTTTTTCTCTCAGAATTCTTCTCCACAGTTTCTACATGTCCAGAAATAGACAGAAGCAGGTTTTTTTTACATGTTTTCCACCGAAACAGATCCTCTCAATTGAAGTCCAACAAGAGAAATAAGCAGAGGTCTTCAGTGACTAATCAAAAACCACATTTACTGTCCAGCATCCAAAGAAGAGACCAAAACCAGCCTTGGTGTGAGATCTGGACTCCGAATAGTTTTGGTAAAGACAAAAGAAAAGTCGAACTGAAAACACAAACAGCCGTCTTCACGCCACTTGCTGCTATCGGGAAGGCTCAGGTGGATAATGGTCCTCCTTGGTACAGGCTGCTGCGTCTGTCTTCCATGCGTTAATGAACAACTGTTAAGTGACAGAGCAGAGCTGGGAGGGAGGGCAGGGCAGAAACAGCTCCCACACTCCATCTGGACTGACACCTCACTTACAAACCGATTGAGATCATAATTTTTCCTGGTTGTAAACATGAAGTTGCCTCCACATGACTGTCTGGATAACCGTGAAGTGTATTCCCATGGTGTGGCTTTCTGCAACGAGTAATAAAGCAGCAACTTTGTTGGACATTGAATCTGGTCATGATTGGTCAACTGGGGGAAAAAAACAAACAAAGACACGTACACAGTAAGCTGTCTAACACATTGTGGTGTGTTGTGAAGGCTTTCTTGGTGCGGAGGCGGGGATGAGAGCTTGCATGATGAGAGAGGCAAAGGTCACAGGAGGCCATAAAAGTGAAGGCTTGTGTGGTGCTAATAAATATTGTCAGCTATAAAAGCAGGGTGGATTAAGCCTGTAAAAGTCTTTGCCAGACGGCTCGTAAACCAGCGTCACCTCATTTTGGAAAAAAAAAAAGCAGTTTTAATCCCAACAATCGGATTTCAGGTGAAAATACCTTCCAATGAAAACAACCTGCATTCAGAAACCGAAGCTTCAACACATCGTTTAGCGTGTTCATGCTATATGTGTCTAACTGTCAGATAACCACCAACCGATCCTTCAAACATCAATCATCTGTGTGTTAACAACACAGAACTTTCTCCTAAGTGTCGCCGAGCTCAAAAAAATCAAAGTGTTTGGGACAATAAAGCGCGACTTATCTTATCCTGTCGCGTATCAGCTGTTGCTCAAATGCTGGTATCATCAGACAGCTTTCAGGCAGGCGTGAAGTGGCATTTACAGCAACAGCCCCATAATCAGACTTTTCTTCAGCATTCTGATTCCATCGTAGGACCCAACAGCTCGTTAACTCAAAGTGCAACAAAACAAACCGTAGCTGCTGGATGAGGAGCCCACAGGAAGCAGAACAATCTGCTACGGTGGCCCACATGGTGAGCGTTCCATCATTAAATTCAAGAGGAGAAGGCTGCCACTCAGCGAGAACGTCCACAGAGAAATGGCACTTGTCGTCCTCCAGCGTTTGTCTTTTCCAAATTAAACCAGGAAATATCAAGAACCACGCAGCAGTCTGTAAACCCAGACCTTGGATCACCTTTTTCACTTCCAAGGATGGTCCTGAAAGAGGTTCTACATGGTTGGTTTTTGTGGTTGGAACAGGCTGCAATAAAACACTTCACTGTTTCTGGATTGTAA